CTTACTCCTGTAGGTAACCCCTCAACCACGCTCCTGTAACCCCTCACCCACGCTCTTATGGGTGGCCCCTTGGTTATGCTCCTGTGCATGCTCCTGTACGCGACCTCAATAAACCATTAGTGCACCAAGCTAGATGGATGGCGTGTTCCTTTGCTCTGTCGTTGCCTGGGGTGACACAGAGCTGAAAAGAGGTAGGCTCCCCTGGAAGAGCCAATCAGCATTCAAAATGGCCCTTGGGGAAAATCGTAATCCACCTTTCTAGCGTCAACCGGCATGGGATGTAAGTGAGATTGTTGAGTTAAAGAGTGTGAACATTCTTAAGGCATTTGAATCTATGGGTACACCAGAAGCCACACAGACCCGACCTTAAATCCTGGTTTATGGCGTATGGCTTAAGCAAATCCCATCTAGTCCAGGGTGTGTGCTCTATGAGCTGTTCCCCTGTTTGCTCACTCCCCCATTCCACTCCACTCTGTTTACCTGCAGCCTTATTGTACCCCTGTAAACCCAGTGGGAGGACGGTGCGTATGCACCGCTGTGTCCTCCCAGCACGGAGCACCTAGGCTAGAGGCAGCTGGTGCTGCTGAAGCAGTAACAGCCTGGAGAGACGTACCCAGGTTTAATTCTTCACGCTGCTACAGTTTAAAAAAAAAAAAAAAAATCCCTGAAGGACCAGGACCCACCTACCTGTTCCAAACTCGTCACTTCCCAACCTGTCTGTAGAACTCAGGGTTCTTAGAGCGCTTTTCATATTTATTCCAGTTCCTTCCAAACATCGCAGAACTGGCAAGCCAGGAAAAGATGCTACATCTGCTAGACAGGTGCCCTCCCCTCTCTCTCCCCTCCCCCTCCTGTTTTGTTTTGGTCTCATTCTGCAGCCCAGGCTGTCCTGGAACTCCTTACAGAGCCCAGGCTGATCTCAGCCTTGTAGGAATCTTCCCATCTCTGCCTCCCAGAGCGCCAGGATACTGGAGGAAGATCTGATATTCATTCCTACCTTTGGCCCAGTACCATTTGCGCTGTCCAGCCTGAATACCACGTACATAGCCTGAAACAATCGCTGGCAGACCTAGTAAACCCAGACTCATTGACCAAGGCACAGCTCACTGTCACCACCTGCGGGATGTCACCTTCAAATACAACAGTATGGCGGCACACACTTGTGAACTCAGCACTATGGAAGATGAGGGAGGAGGATTGCCTTAAGTTTGAGGACAGCCTGGGCTACATAGTAAGTTCAAGACCAGCCTGGCCTACATAGAGAACCTTGTATGTTTGTTTGTCTGTTTGTTTGTTTGGGGGGGTTTGTTGTTTCACTTTGTTTTGATTTTCTGCTAATCAACCTCTGCTTTCTGAAGAGCTATACTCGAACCGTTGTCTCTACTGCGTTCTGGTTATTTTTTCTCTACCTGTAGCATGATTAATAAAAACCCAGAGACAGATATTGGGGTTCAACTTGAGAACCAGAAAAACAAAGCAGTCAGTCACTGGCTCTTACCTCTACCTCAGTCCAAAAATGGTGATCCTGCCTCCAGGAATCTCAGAATTAGATTGAGCCTGAAACCTGTCTCCTCCCACTTTATTATTCCTCTCTAGGACTGGGATTAAAGGTGTGTGTCACCGCTGCCTGGTCTGTAAGGTTGACCAGTGCCGCTGTTTCACTCTCTGATCCCCCGGCAAGCTTTATTTATTAAAATACAAATGAAATGCCACTATGTCTACCTCATTCACAGTGGTCCTCCTCCTCCTCTTCCTCCTCCTCCTCTTTTTTTCTCCTCCTTCTTCAATTTCACTTACCAAGCCCAGTTCCTCACATAAAGGAAGTACTGACTGGACTTTATAAAGGAGTGACTGCTGACTGACTGAAGGCAGTTTAGCTCTCTGGCCCTCATGTTGCTCTCCTGAAAACAAAGGAGACAGAGTAAGGGCTCCCAACTCTACCACTCCCTTTCCAGCATTTACTTGAAGAGTACCTGACCAAAAGGAAATCCCTTCAAAAGTGGGTTCAAGGGACCCAGATCAACTGTGGTTTGCTTCCTTCTAGATGGATGTCAGCCTGGTGGTGAGAGCATCTTAGATGCTTTGCCTCTAAACCGTCACAGACATTTCAAGCCACCTGAGATCCATCCAAAATGGAGTTTAAGAGCCAAGGCCTCAGGAGATCCCTCCAGAGTGTGGCCTGCCTTTCGTCTCAGTCAAAGTCCCTCAAATCCAGCAACATGGAGACAATCTCTGGCTTAGGATTACATAGCACCTGTCTTTGTTTTCTTAGGCATTTTCTTAAAAGAAACATCTCTTCCCCAATACAGAGTCCTCTTTACACCCTTCTGGTTGATACCACTTATCTCACGAGACGAAATTCACCTGGGTCCTTGGTCCTCCTCTAGGGAACCAGTGCTGAAACATGCCTTGCCCACCTCCTCAGAGGATAGCAGATCTATCCGTGAGCATCACATCCTGAGAGACTGACAGGAGCAGAGACCTAGAACGGGGAGATGTAAACCCCTATGAGTTCTGGTTCCCCGGAGACCACTAGATCCCCCAAATCCTAGTTGCAGAATTCCAATTAAGTCATTTTTTAAACAAAAGCCCCAACACCTCTCTTAAGCTGCCAAAGGGATGCCTGATACCCATCTCTTCCCTACCACCCGGAGAAAACTACCCTAAGAACCACTGGCCTAGAGTCTAGGTGAGAAAAAACGAGAAGATCAAATAAGGCTCTGGTGAGCTCTTCTGGGTGTATTACAGTCAGCCATAGACAGATGTCTTTGAGACCAATCACTCTGCACCAATGAGTGGCCTTCCCTACCTGTTGGGAATGTCCCCGTGTTGGGGATGTCCCGTAGCCCTCAGACTTTGATTAGTCTGTTCTGTAGACAAAGCTAAGCCCTGAGAGGACAGTGGGCTCCCAGCGTCTCTGCCAGTCTGATTCTAGGGATTGAACCAGAGCCCACACGGGCTAAACAACACACTCTCTACCCTTGTCCCTTCCCCCTTAATAGCAGTGACCTTGAAGGCAGAGGATTCAGGAGGGCACAGGACACAGTGAAAACCCCAAAACAATATTCCACCACCAGAGGGCACCCAAAGCCCAGACAATAGAGACTTGGTCGTGTGCGGTGTCGTCGTCGTCGTGTCCCCCCCCCCCCCCCCCCCCCCCCCCCCCCCCCCCCCCCGGGTGAATGCAGTTTACTTCATCTTCATAGCCTGGAAAGTTCTGTCTAGTGCTTGGGGTCATTGGCATAATTCCAGCGTTGAGAGCCTCTTTCAGAGGTTTGGTTTTGTTTTGTTTTGTTTTGTTTTGTTTTTTTGGTTTTTCGAGACAGGGTTTCGCTGTGGCTTTGGAGCCTGTCCTGGAACTAGCTCTGTAGACCAGGCTGGTCTCGAACTCACAGAGATCCGCCAGCCTCTGCCTTCCGAGTGCTGGGATTAAAGGCGTGCGCCACCATCGCCCGGCTTCTTTCAGAGGTTTGCAGGCACCCAGGGGACATCACAGACCTGAGCTCATCGAGAGTGGGGACTTCAACAACATCAGTTGTCTGATGTTGAGCTCAGTTTAAAGCTTTAAGGAACTCTAGTACTAAATTTACAAGACTCACTGTGTTGGTTGCTTTTTGCTAAAATGTCACAAGCCCAGGCATATATGGGAAGAGGGAATCTTACCTGAAATAAATAAATAAATAAATAAATAAATAAATAAATCTCCATAAGATTGGTCTGTAGCCAAGTCTGTGGAGTATTGTCTTAACTAATGACTGATGTGGGAGGCCCCAACCCCCTGGGAGCCATCCTAGAGTGTGTAAGAAAACAGGATGAGGAAGCCATGGAGAGCTGGTCAATAACCATGGTCTCTGCTTCAGTTCCTGCCTCCAGGTTCCTGCTTTGAGTGCCTGCCTTGACTTCCCTCCATGACAGATTCATAAGCTGTAAGATGAGATAAACCCTTTCCTCCACAAGTTGATTTCGGTCGTGGTGTTTGATCCCAGCAATAGAAACCCTAACTAAGATGTTCACTTAGGTGCACAGAGCCCAAGCCTGGCAACTCTGCCAAGGAGAACACTCAGTTACCTGAGGTGGTAACTGCAGATGCCCCAGTGGAAGGGCTCTGTTATTGGGCATGGATCCTTTAACATTCGGAAGATTTGGAGCCCTCTCGCTAACTTCATACCATCTTAGTGAAGATAAGACCACATTTCCTGGAAATTCCTCCTCTTACGGGTTATGGCTGACCGCACGAGAAATGTGTAGAAGCCCCGAGAGGCAGATGTAGGACCGAATCGGTGGCCACAGGGCTCTGCGAGTCTGCGGCGGTGCAGGTCTTGCTCACCTCGTCACCCACGACTGGCTGACCCTTGGCTGCAGAAACACAGCGGCTGCCAGACTTCTGTCCCTCCCAGGCCCAGTCGGGATCTCCTTCCCTCTCTAGCGCCTGGATGGCGCTCAGTTACCCAGCAACGAGGGCTGGGACCTGTGGAGGACAACTCCCCTTATCACAGTTGGAGGAGGTGCGGCCCGGGTTCCAGCTGCTTCTTGATTGTCTCCACTTCACCCTCGGCGTTTCTCCTCCCCTGAGAAGAAACCCCAACAGCGACCCCTATAGCGGTCTTCAGGCTCACCACAGAGGCAGGCAGAGGTCCCAGCCTTCCTCGGCCCCTCTCAGGGTTATGTAAGATCTAAGCACTAAAATCCGCGTCAGAAGCGAAGCAAAGGAGACTCAGGCTAGACAGCGATTCTTATTCACAAGAACTACCGCGATGTTTGCTAAAGTTTCTGCAAAGGTTTTTACAAAGGATTTCACCTGGAGAGCTATAGATTTGCCTCATTGTGCTTTGAAAACGTGTAATTTAAAGATGTCATCATTTCAATATTAGTGATGGTACTGTCTAGTTTTATGTCACCTTGACACAAACTAGAGTCAGCTGAAAGGAAGGATCCTCAGTTGATAAAATACCTCCGTAAGATCCATCTGGAGGGCATTTTCTTAATTAGTAATTGATGTGGGAGGTGCCACCTGCTAGTCCTGCATTCTGTAAGAGAGCAAGCTGAGTAAGTCATGATAAGCAAGCCAGTAAGCAGCTCCCCTCCATGGCCCCTGCATCAGCTCCTGCCTCCTGGTTCCTGCCCTGTTTGAGTTCCCATCCTGGCTTTCTTCAGTGATGGAGTACAGTGCGGAAGTGTAAGTCAAATACACCCTTTCCTCCCCAGCTAGCTTTCCTTCATGGTGTTCATCACAACAATAGAAACATTGGCGAGGACTGTGATTCTAAGTTGGAAAGGTTTACATGCTGACTGTAAACAATTATAGTATTTCAAGGAATTGTGATTGCTAAATGTAAACATGTTGGGCTAACAAGAAGCATCTAAGTGGTTAGGGATTTTTTTTCTCATTGGAGTTGGTTGTCTGGACTAATGGTAATATACACTTATAATGCCAGCACAGAGGAGGCTGATACAGAAAGATCAAGAGTTCGAGGATATCCTAGGCTACAGAGCATTGAGGCTAACCTTGGCTATGTTGCAAGACTCTTTCTAAAAAGATATCTGCCCCATCATGCATCTAAATGCTTAAAAAGAAAACCAAATATATTTGGTGTTAAATTTAGACAAGCACTTTAAAATATTTAGAGGATCCAATGGGCTATATTTATAATGGAGTTTAGACTGTTCAAGTTGACTTAATAAAATTTTAATTTCAAAAAGGATAAATGGGAGCTAAGCACAGTGGCAAGTTACGGGGCCCATCAGGACTACCTGGTGAGACCCTGCTTCTAAAAAGGAAAGAAAGAAAAGGATGATGGGTCTGGAGAGATGGCTCAGTGGGTAGGTGGGTTACTAAGCAACCTCAGTCCCCAGCATACACATGCGGAGAGCTTCATAATAGCAAGATGTGTAATTTGAACTTAAAAGGCATAAGGAATACTAGACCTTTAAATGGATTAATAAGCTAAGATTTGTTTACCATATCAGTAATTGTTCACAGACCCTTTTTCTGTAACCTCTAATACAAAAATACACAAACAGCTGGGCATGGTCATATGAATCAGTGCTTGGGAGGTGGAGGCAGGAAAATAAAGAACGTGAGGCCAGTTGTGACTGTACAATAAGTCCTATGTCACTAGACTACGCAGAGAAACCTTGTCTTAAAATAATGAGGAGCTGGAGAGATGCTGGCTCAGAAGTTAAGAGCACTGACCGCTCTTCCAGAGGACCTGGGTTCAATTCCCAGCACCCACAATGCAGCTCACAGTCCCAGGGGATCCGACACCCTCACACCAATGCACAAAGAATAAAATTAAATAAATTATAAAAAAAAGAAATCAACACACTCACACCATCCTACCTCTTATTCTAGCCCTTTGCCAGTCTGTCTCATTCTTTAGCATGGATATGTGCTTGTGGCTTCTCAGTCTCCGAACTGCCTGCCTAGTCCAGGTCTCCTGGGGTCTCCACACCGACGACCCTGGGGTCTCCGCACTGCCGACCCACGCTGCCGATCCTGACGTTCCCATTTTACTACTCCAAACTCTAAGAAAGGTGATATCCTCTCCCGTCTGCCTACTCTCTACCTTGTCCTCCTGGGCTCTTGATTACTTCCCTTCCATTCTGAGTCCTGCTCTGCCTCAGGCACCCCGAGTTCTTACACTGAGCTCAGGCCTGGCAGAGAAGCAGCTGGTGACTCACTGTTCCGGTGCGCATTCACCAGTACCGCTCGCTGGACGGCTACCTCTACCCGATACTTGCTCACATTCTCCCTCTGAGGCAAGCATCAGTTCCCACCTACCCATCCACTCATTCTCCTCACCTACACCCTCCCTGCTACAGCAGAGACAGACTCATTCACAGACCTTGAACAGCAAACCCACCACAAGGGATGGATTCAAGGGATGGTCTCGGGAAGGGCAAACAGACATTTACCTCAGAGGGTCCAATACTCCTTCAGAGCTTTGCCATCTCCCTGGTCCTTGGGTTTGCCCTAGGACTCCGTCTTCAGCCTCCTCTGGCCTTCCCTTGCCCGTGCCTGTCATTCTCAACATCTCTGTAGGCCATATGTTCGTGGAAATGCCAATTCTGACCTAACTTTTACATAAAAGAGAAGAGTTAGGCGTCAGTGTTGACATGAGCCAAGTCCGTGACTAAACATACCTACAGACAGTACATACAAAAGGCTGAGAAACACAAAACACAACAGTGGCCGGGTATGGTGGCCACACCTGTATGTCAGCTCTTGGCCGTCCTCAGCTCTACATACTGAGTTGGAGGTTAGTCTAGGCTACATAAGGCCCTATCTCAGAAAGAAAAGAAAAATCACCACAACCCTTGCCCCCTCTAGGAGGAGAGGCATCTAGAAGAAACAAGGATTCTCTAGACACAAGCTCATAGTTCTCAAACTTTCCTGGCCCAGGAAGCCACCCGACGTGATGGGAGCGTGGGAAAAATTAGTCAGCCACGTTCCCTTCATGTCACAGAATCTAACGCTCCATCTATGACTTCAGATAAGTTACATGCAGAACCCCAGCAACAGCACCCAGGCTGCCATAGCAACACACCTACAGCCCTGGCTATCATCCTGTGCTATGTAGAAAACATTTGCCCTTCTTCCAAAGGCGCCATGCAGCCCGGCCCAGCAGCACTCACTGGGGCTAGCTGGAGCTCCAGGAGACCCTCTTAAATAAATGAAGAAGCAGTTTACACAGTGGATAATTGAAAACAAAATTAGTTGGATGTGGTGTCACGTCTGTAGTCTTTTTTTCTTTTTTGATTTTTTTTTTTTTTTTGAGACGGGGTTTCTCTGTGTAGCTATGGAGCCTATCCTGTTGCTCACTCTGTAGACCAGGCTGGTCTTGAACTCACAGAGATATCTGCCTGCCTCTGCCTCCCAAGTGTGCCACCACCACCCAGCCAGATCTATAGTCTTAATACTTAGGACATGGAGACAGGAGAATCAGCTGTTCAAGGTCGTTCTTAGCTACAAAATCAATCTGAGGCCATCCTGGACTACATGAGACACTTCCTTCTTTAAAACAAATGAATAAATGAATGAAATAAAACCAGGGAGCCAGGCATGGTGGTGCCACTTTAATCCTAGCATTCAGGAGGCAGAGACAGGGGGATTTCTGTGAGTTTGAGGCCAGCCATGTCTACAAAGGACAGCCAGAGCTCTGTTACACAGAGAAACTCTATCTCAATAATTCCAGTTACGATAGCATTGGAAAGATTAAAACCTTATTAAGAAATTTAGCAAATAAATTGTAAGACTTATACAATGAAAACCACAAAATCTTTAAAGGCACTAATAAGAACTAACCAGATCCAAAGACTTGGGAGTCCACGGAGTAAAGACCTGAAAGGGTTCGGATGCCAAGACTGCCAAGTTCTACCTGTGTATCCAATATGATGCCTATGAAAATTCCAGTTTTCCCTTTATGCATAAGTTAAACTAATCCTAAAATTTATACGGCAATTCAAAAGGCATGGAATTATTTTGGGGAGGCCACAAAGGTGGCTCAGCAAATACAGGCATGTGCCACCAGCCTGACAACCCGAGTGTGACCCCTGGGACCTACGATGGTGGAAGGAGAGCGTCAGCTTCTCCAAGCTGTCCTCCGACCTGCACACGTGGATACACTCACACCCACACCCAAAATGAATCAACAAATTAACGTAAAAATATGATTTCAGAAAAGAACAAAGGCAGATGACTCAGACTTTCTAATTTCCGTTTTCTTTTGAGAACAGTCTCGCCATAGCCCAGGCAGAACTTTGGTTTACAGTAATCCTCCTGCCTCAGCCTCCTAACGGCTGGGATTATATAGGCATGCACTACCAACCCCAACTTCTATTAAACTACAGTACCCAAAACTTAGGATTGACATAAAGATGGACGTAGATGAACGGAATAAAACTTAGAGCCCAGAAATCAAACCATATCAACTGATTCCTGTGAGGGTATCAAGACTGTCCTGCGAGAAAATAATAGTTTTTTTCTGATTTGAGGTGCTGAGACAACTGCGTACCCACCAGCAATGGAATGTATATTGACTTCTACCTGAGATTCTATTTTTAAAAACTTAAAAACTCTGCTTGCGGGTGTAACACGGAAGAGAGCACTTGCCTAGCATGTACGAAGCCACGGGTTCAACCCCAGCGTTTAGGTAAAAAGGAAATTAACTCATATTGATCCAAGAACGAAATACAAGAATTAGAACTATAGAACCGTTAGAAGGAGGCAGGTGAAAACCTCTGTGGCCTCGGCTTAGGTGGCAGTTTCTAAGTGCATCATCAAAAGTGTAAGGAACAGAAGAAAAAATAGAAATTCAAGACTGAAAGCGTTCACACATCAAAAGATAACAAACAAAGAGGAAAGGAAGATGACAGATAACTGAAAGGTAAGAAATACTATTTGGGGGTGTTTTTTTTTAAAAATAAATTTGTTTTTATTCAATGTGTATTTGTATTTTCCCTGCATGTATGTCTGTGTGAAGGTGTAGAATCCCTGGAACTGGAGTTAGAGACAGTTGTGAGCTGCCATGTGGGTGCTGGGAATTGGAACCCAGGTCCTCTGGAAGAGCAGCCAGTGCTCTTGACTGCTGAGCCATATCTCCAGGCCTATGTTTTATTATTATCATTATTTTTAGTGTGCATTTGGATGTCAAAACATGCATGTGAAGGTCAGAGAACAACTTCTACACTTTTAATTTTTTTTCCTCTGAGACAAGGTTTTTCTGTATATCCCCGACTATCCCGGAACTCACTCTGTAGACCAGGGTGTCCTCAAACTCAGGGAGATCCGCCTGTCTCTGCTTCTCAAGTGCTGGGATTACAGGCATGCGCCACCACCTCCTGGCTTTAAAATTTATTTTTATTTTTGTGTATCCGTGTGAGTCTACTTATAGTATGTGCCCCACATGCATGCAGTGCCCATAGAGGCCCTAAGAGGGCATTTGGCACTGGAGTCACAGGTGATTGTGAGCCACCTCTTGCAGGTGCTGAGAACTGAACCGAGGTCCTCTGCAAAAGCAGCCGGCACTCTTGCTGCTGAGCCATCAACCCTCCAGCCCCAGAGAACAACATTTGAGAGTTGATTCCCTCTTTTCACCTTGTCACAGTCGTATCTTTCGTTTCTGTTACTCTGTGTGCTCCCGGTAGCTGGCTGTGAGTTTACAGGCAATTCTTCCGTGTGTCCTGCTGTCTCACCCACAGGAGTGCTGCGGTTCCAGATGTGCACATAAGTCAGACATTTTCACATGGGCCAGTGACTGACATCTGCTTATTAGGTTTGTGCTGACCCATCTCACCAGTCCAGAAGGCACTTCTAAGTTGAATACCCAATAAGGATGTAGTACCTGGCATACATTAAGGAGAAAAAAAACTCCTTATTACTCAGTAATATAAAGGACAAATAACACCGAGCGGTGGTGGCGCACGCCTTTGATCCCAGCACTCGGGAGGCAGAGGCAGGTGGATCTCTGTGAGTTTGAGGTCAGCCTGCTCTACAGAGGGAGTTCCAGGACAGCTAGGGCTGTTACACAGAGAAGCCCTGTCTCAGGGTGGGGCGGGAGGAGGTGGACCATTGCTATGATAAACCTGACTGCCTGGTTCTTAGCCTTTGGAACAAATTTGCCAGAAGAACATGGAAGCATTTGAAGCTTCAAACTAGAAACCTCTAGAATATTGGAAACAGACTTTAATGTGCCATCCTGGTGGGCGTATAGGAGACCAGAGTGCCAAAAGCAATCCAGACACTGGGAACTCACTCGTGAGCTTTCGGAGGGGAACAGGGACTTTGTCAGAAGCTCAGTTGGAGTCTGTTGATGTTGCATTGGGGCTGTGGCAAAGAATCCGTCTCTAATCTCCCTCTGACTTGAGAATGTGAATGAAGCAGAATTCAAAAGAAATTGAAATTTCAAAACAGGGGCTGGAGAGATGGTTAAGAGCATTGCCTGCTCTTCCAAAGGTCCTGAGTTCAATTCTCGGCAACCACATGGTGGCTCACAACCATCTGTAATGAGGTCTGGTACCCTCTTCTGGCCTGCAGAGATACACACAGACAGAATATTGTATAATAAATAAATAAATAAATAAATAAATAAATGAAATTTCAAAACAGGATAACATTCAGACCGTGTCATGGTTACTGCTTTCTGCCCTTACCCAGTAAGCAGCTGGGGGAAAGGGAAAGGGAAAGAGAGAGGACCCTTGTACTATGGAGCACAGGAGAAAAGGTGCTACCCATTGAAGTCTCCACCTTGTGAAAACTCATCTGAGTAGTGAAAGCCTAACCTATGCAGCGGAAGTTCCCTGTCCCAGAACAACCCCGTAGGGAACTGTCTTCCCGGGGCTACACAGAAGTCGGTGGACACAGTGGTCCAACCAGGCTGGCTACACCTTGAGCTGGCAGCAGAACTTGGCACAGTACTGCCTGGCAGCCGTGGCACCTGCCAGAATAAAGGAATGGTAGAGGCTTGCACCAAGGCTCCAGAGAGCCACTATGGACAAGTAATCTGTTTCAGAGTTAGAGTCCCAGCTAGCAGGCTCTGAGAGGACGTCAGGTGAAACTGTAAAGGCAGAGCCTATGCTGCCTGAGACCACAGGATGTTGAGTGTGCCCGCGCTAGAAGACACCTGCTGACGAGGGCTGTGACGTTACCGGAGTTTTGAGGGTCAGAGCCTGAGCTCTGCTAACCTTAACGATCTGGACTGGCCGCCTGTCCAGCGGGACAATTAAACAGGTAAGTAGAATATCAGGTTTAGTCAACGGGGCCACTTGAAGATCAAAGAAATTTAGTGGCTCAAGTCCATCTTCACAGTCCTGACAGGAGGTGTTGGCTTGTTGCTTTTTAAATTGTATTTGTTTATTAGTCTCTCTCTCTCTCTCTCTCTCTCTCTCTCTCTCTCTCTCACACACACACACACACACACACACACACACACACAGCATGCATGCATGCAAGAATGCATGTGGAGGGCAGAGGACATCTTGCAGGAACTGGTTTTCTCCTTCTACCCTGTGGGTCCCCAGTATCCATCTCAAATTGTCAGCTTGGGAACAAGCACCTTTACCCACTGAGCAATCTTGCCAGCCCTCTTTTTAATTTTTTTTTAGGTTTAGCTTAAATGGAGAGCAGAAGCAGTAAGTGCTCTTAATCACTGAGCCATCTCCCCAGTCCTAAAGTGGCCGTTTAAAAACCTTTAACACACACAGATACATAAACCAACCCTGACCTCGTTTTCCAAGTAGTCAAAGTCCTGAAAAATAGCAAGAAGCATAAGCAATTATCTTAGGAAAATACAGAAACTTGTATATACACTTTCCCACGGGAGCCTGGTACTCAGTGGTTGCCAACAGCAACCTCATTGGTGGTGTATGCAGCCTGTTGACTGTATGGGTTGCCCAAAGGGATCTTGGGGACAACTTTCTGGCAATTATTCAAGTCTCTGATCTCAATGTTGTCCCCAGTCTAGGCTCCGGACAGGTATGCATGGGGCCTTTGGGAAGCCACAGGGCACAGTGGCTATGGTTCACACTGGCCATGGTTCACACTGGCCATGGTTCACACTGGCCATGGTTCACACTGGCCATGGTTCACACTGGCCATGGTTCACACTGGCCATGGTTCACACATCCATCTACATCAGGGCGTAGAGTAAGGACGAGTGATTGAGGCTCTGTGTAAGCCAAGTTCCTGTTCCCTGGCTGCCAGACGATCCACATCTGAAAGAAGTTGGGACTTCACTAGGCTCTATACGGGTGACTTTGGAGACATGGCCGCTGAGAAGCAGCTTATTCCTGATAGCTGTGGGGTCAAATAGATCCCCAATCGTGGTCTCCAGGACAAGCGGCAGGTTCCACGTTATGGGGCTTCCACGGTGCTCTCCTATCCCCTCTTCAGAAATAAATCTCACATGCAGTCTAAAAAATAAAATGTACATACACAAAAAGTTGTTGGTAAAATGCACCATCTCATAATACTATTTCCCAAAAAAAAACGGCCAAAAATCATTATTAATTATCCCAGTAGCAAAGTTAGTTCATTGAATATTGACAAAACATATGGCTATTTCATATGGACAAGGCCCAGAAATCATTCAAAAGTATCTAGACATACAGGTCAATTATCTTTTGAGTGTTTGTCTTAAGCTTACCTGGCAGGAAGTGTTTCAGAAGATCTCAGGACTCTTGGACAATACGGTCATCTCTGCGTCTGAACGACAGCGTTCCTCCAGCCGCACCAGGTGCTGGCGGGTCTGACTACCGTTCTGCGGTGTTTCCTTTCTCCTCTCTCTTTCTTTAAGATACTGCCAGAGCCTCTGTAGCTTTTTCTGGTACTTGAGCTCCTTACTCCTCCTCTAAAGTCCCCTCCCTGCCATGTGGTCATTTAGCCACTTGTCTGCCACGAGGCTGTCTGCCTGTCTGTCGTGCGGCCAACCTCCACGCCGCTTACCTCAGACCACACGGTGTGTTCTTTGCTTTCCTATCTCCCTCCTCTAGGCTCTGGTCAAGATTTGCACTTGGCTTGCTCTGGAGTTTTTCCTTTTAAACTATTAATAAAATTCTCCTTGAGCCTCAAAAAAAAAAACATTTTTTAAGCAAGACGTTAGTTACACATCTTATACATTCTGTAACAATTTTCTCAGCCTCAGTTTTCAGAGCTAACACTTGAGAATGTCAGACTGTCACACCCTTCCCCACCAATGAAAGAGACACAGTTGCCACCGGCTCTCACCCTGGTGTGCTTGCTCGCCTGGTTTAGGTTACTGCACACATTTTGCAAAACTAAGAAAACTGCCTTGTCGAGTGACTTTGGTTTGTTCACGTGCCGCTTACTCTTTCCCAACACTGACGACTTCAGCTAACCAGGTTTGGGTTTTGGTTCTTTGCTCTTAGTCCCAAATATTACAGTTCACTATTAAATTTCTATATTTAATTATTATTATTATTTGCAAAGGAAGAGTGAAAGAGGAGACAGAAGCGCGGTCCTTCTGTGTTAGCCCTCAGAGCAGACACTCCTCAGGCTATGACTGTTCACAGCTCACACAGAGCTGATTCTGCACCCTCACCTCAGGCTGACAGACTCCGAGCTGTCGGTGGCTGCCTGTGACACCCATGTGGTGGTAACACATTAACTTACCGGGCCTCCTCCTTCCTACTTCCTCCACACCTTCAAAGTCTTCCATTCCTTTCTCAAATGCAAACTCCCTCTCTACCCCCAGCTGTTCAGGAAGCAGAGAGACAGCCTGTTTGCAGGAACAGGCCATGGAGGACTCACCAAGCACATGACATGGAACCTCCTCCCTTCCTGAGAAAACTAAAAGAAGCCTCCATTCCTTCCACCTGGGCCTGCGTGCTCCTCAGAGTGCCCCACCTCACCCCCTCCATGCCATCTCTCTGGCACTGGGGCCTGAATTCTCCTCAGAACTCTTGTCCTGTTGTCTCCCTGTGACAGTCACAGGTCTTCTCACAAACCTCTTACCCATAAGACAGTCTGTCTCAGGGTGCTCTTGAGCCCCTGTCTCAGTGTCCCCTTAGATCCCAAACCCAAGACTGTGGAATATTCCTTTACACGGAGTGAACATATGTCACTGTGACTTGCTTAATAAAGAAGCTGACAGGCCCACAGCTAGGCAGGATAAGGTTAGACAGAGAACCAGACTAAGAGTGAGAGACCCAGGCCTCAGCAGAACTACAGCTATAGCACAAAGACCTGAGCAGTCCCGCCCAGTCAGCAAAGTGGCAGCCCCTGACCTTCCCTTGACCACCGGAACCAAGAACTCTATGCCCCACAGGGAGGGGCCAATCAGAAATGGATAATACCTCACCCTACCAAGAGAGACCAATCAGGGATCCTATGGATTCTGTCTTTTGGTGGTATTTTGGGGTTCCAGACTTTGAGCATAACAAGAGGATGCTGGGAAGAAGAGAGGAAAGAATTTCAGGGGTCACATGGAGACATGGAGAGAAGGAAGATGAGCATGCTGTGCTGAAAGAAGGTACCACCATGTGGCAGAGGGCAGATAAGAAATATGAGTTAATTTAGGTTGTAAGAGCTGGTTAGTAATAAGTCTAAGCTAGCAGCCAAGAATTTATAATTAATAATAAGACTCTGTGTGGTTATTTGGAGAGAAGCTGGTGAGACAGAAAAGTTCGCCTACACAAGACTTTTCACTATATGTGTTAATAGAGCCCTCAAATCATTCTTAAACTTTTGCATTCATGAACACACAGGCATACATTTCAAATTAAGTATGCCAAAAATATTATTTTAGAGTTCAATGAGTTTAAAAATATCCAAGAGGCTGGAGAGGTGGCTTACTGATTAACAGTACTTGCTGCTCTTTCAGAGGACCCAAGGTCTGTGCCCAGCATCCATACAGGGCACCACAACACCTCTGTCTTCAGTTCCAGGGGATCTAATGCTGTCTTCTGAACTGAACTCCATGGGCACCCATACCCCCATCACACACACACACACACACACACACACACACACACACGAATAAAAATTCTTTTTAAAAACTTAAAACTGAAGTGACCAGAGTTTTTCAGCTCAACTGTTTTCAGAAATTTTAGGAGAAAATTAATTTTTGCTCCTTACAAATTAATTTAACTATCCTAAGTTTACAAAAAGTAAGTCAACTTGAATTCTCCTCACGAGGGAGAATAAGGATGCTACAGATTCATTGTTTCCATAGCTACACAAATCACAATAGAGATGGCAACACCCTTATTCTATGTTTCAAATGGTTCAACAGACCTCCAAGGGCTCAACAGAGCAGAGCCCCAAAAGACCAACAGACTTCAATTCCCTGTAACGTGGTAAGTGCCCAGATAGTTCAAGAGGACTCCTAATTTGCTCAAAAGAGCTGTCAAAATAACAAGGACAGTCATACATAGAGCACAGTAGCCCAAATACCTCAGCAAAACCTCAGCAATAGAGAACTGCCGAAGGCAAAGCCAGTCACCAGAGCAT